ATATCAGGGTCGTGTTGTCGTACCTAGGCAGTTGGCGGAGGAAGTAATGACAGAGGCTCATAAGGGTCATTTTACAGTTCATCCGGGAGCTACAAAGATGTATCAGGACCTAAAGATGAATTTCTGGTGGCCTGGTATGAAGAAAGACATTGCCGAATTTGTCTCTAAGTGTCTCATTTGTCAGAAGGTCAAGATTGAGCATCAAAAACCTTCTGGTATGTTGCAACCTCTGGATGTTCCTGAATGGAAATGGGAGAGTATCTCCATGGATTTCGTAGTGGGATTGCCGCGAACACAGGCTAGTTATGATTCTATATGGGTGATTGTGGATAGATTGACAAAATCCGCACACTTTTTGCTAGTTCGGTTAGATTTCTCTGCGGAGAGATTGGCTAGGCTCTATGTGAAGGAGATTGTGAGGCTTCATGGGGTGCCTGAGAGCATTGTTAGTGATCGGGACCCGAAGTTCACTTCTCGCTTCTGGGGAGCATTGCAGGAGGCTCTTGGCACTCAGTTGAGACTGAGCACTGCTTATCACCCGCAGACGGATGGTCAGACTAAGAGGACCATTCAGACGTTGGAGGATATGCTGAGGGCTTGCACCCTGGAGCAGGGTACTGCATGGGATCGATATCTCCCGCTGGTTGAGTTTTCATATAATAATAGTTTTCATGCTAGTCTGGGTATGGCTCCCTACGAGGCCTTGTATGGTCGCAGGTGTAGGACACCTACTTGTTGGTCAGAGGTTGGAGACACAGAGCGGTTTGGATTGGATTTTGTTCAGGAGACTACTGAGCAGATTAAAATGATTAAGGATCGTCTGAAAAAGGCTCAGGATCGTCAGAAAAGTTATTATGATCTCAAGCACCGGCCTCTAGAGTTTGAGGAGGGAGATCATGTGTTCCTGAAGCTGTCACCAGTTACGGGTGTGGGACGAGCCCTTGGAGTAAGGAAGCTGAGTCCGAGATTTATTGGACCCTATCAGATTCTTCGTAGGGTGGGACCGGTTGCATACCAGCTTGCCTTACCTCCGCAATTGGCAAATTTGCATGATGTGTTTCATGTTTCTCAGCTGAGGAAATATGTAGCTGATCCTTCTCATGTGGTTCAACCTGATAATGTTGAAATCCGGGAGAATTTGAAGACTCATGTTGGACCACTGAAGATACTCGAAAGAGATGAGAAGAAGCTGAGAAATAAATCTATTCCTATGGTGAAAGTCCAATGGGAAGGAAGGACGTCTGAAGAGTCCACTTGGGAGCGAGAAGATGAGCTTCTCCGGCAATATCCTGAGTTTAAGGACAGGTACGTTCTTGATTTTGCGGACAAAAACACTAAAAGGTGGGGTGACTATAATAGCCCATCTTAATTAATTAGTAAATCTAGTGTAATTAATTAATTAAGCAGGTTTTACTGGGTAAAATTAAGTATAATGCTTAACTAAAAGAATCTGAGTCACTTTGGAGTTAAAAGTGTACTCAGTGAAAATTAAGGGGTATAAATGGGTACTGGCAAAAGTACCCAAAATATAAAAATAAAAATAGTAATATTCCTAGAATAATATTCCCGACTTTTGGGTAAAGTTTGGTAATTATTGGAGTTGAATAGATACACTTTCCCGTCGACAGAAACAGAGAAGAAAGGAAGAAGAAGGAGAAGGAGGAGAAAGGGAGAGAGAAGAAGAGAGAGAGGAGGGAGCAAATCCCAACGGTTTTGGGTGATTCAAAAGCCTAAATCGCTTAGAATCTCGCCCTCTTTCATAATCCAAGCTTAGTTTTAAGTGGGGAGCTTTGTGTGGTGAGATATTGGCTCTCAAAAATTCGGCCCTTTGGTGAAAATTGGGGTTTTGAGAGTTTATACCTCCATTGAAGCTTGAGGAGCCATCAATCCTTGGTTGAGTGACCATTGGTGGTAAGATTCTAACCCTTGAACCTCATGATTCCTTGAAATTTGCATGAGTTAGGGTTTATGAATAGTGTTTTAGGGATTTTGATGAAATGTTGTTAAATTAGCTATGTTCTAGGAAGAATGGAGCTTGAGCATGTTGTGAAAAATGCTAGGAACGACATTTAATCGGTGATAATGAGCTTAGATAGCTAAATGCTTATATTTGGAAGATTGCAAGAATATGACACTTGGTTATGAGTTTTCTTGCATTGTTGAACCATTGTTTGGTTGGTCATTGATTGTATCCTTGTGTTGTCTAGGATTGAGGCAATTGGATCAACATTAATTGACCAACCTTTGGAGCAAGCAATGGAGATGGATTAGTCCTTGAAATAGGTAAGTTCATCCTTGTGTTGTGGTATGAATAGGATAGTTTGGATTGATGATGATGAGTTATCCTTGAATGCAATATATTAATTTCATTACCCTTGTATAGGTGTATATTTGTAAAAGTTGATCGCTGAAACTGTTGGTGAAGAACAAAGGTCGACTGAAGCATTGAGGTAAGCCTTCGGACCTTGGGTGTAATTCCCTTGACTGTTCTACAAGCCCTGAAAGGGTAGAGGTTGTGATTGTGTATATAAATGCAATAAAATAGTGTAATGCTTTGTTATACGTATGTGTATGCATTTGGTGTGGCATAGGATGGTGTTTCCCTATGTTGGTATGTTGCATGACGATGCGTAAATCATACTTGGTAGTTAGCTGGCCAGTAGGACTATTTGCATCTGAGTTTCCTTAGGACAGCTTGAGAGCTCGAGGGATTTCTCCTGGAGATGTATTGCACTTTGCATAGATATGTATTTACTGCATTATTATTGTTATTGCTATTACACTGATATAGAACTGTGGGGTGGAGAGATGCTCCAAGGACCCCTGGTTTACTGGATATATTCGTATATCTCACCCCGTGTTGTGGGGACCCCCTTTCAGGTAAGGATGCTGCAGGAGCCTCTGGTGGAAAGTGGCCATATCTGGATTATGCATGAAATGTGGCATTTCTTTTGAGATTGTACATGTTGTTTTGTAGCTCACATGTATAGAATTAAATGAATAGGCAATGCTAGATTTATGATTTGTATATTGGAATGGACTTAGCCTATGCTCATGCCTTTGGTCATCTCTTTTGTTGATGGGAGCCAAGGGAATGATCATAGTGTTTTGTAAGCTAAGTTCCATGATTTGTAATGGCTATGTAATGTAAATGATGCCTACTTGAAATTCAATATATACATGCTTGTTATGTATTGAGTTATTGAATTGGTTGGGCTGAGAATAAATTAGGTACCTAGTGCTAAATTGGGAAATGTTGAGAAAACAAATACATCATGTCTGTTTGACCAATTTTCACACCCAATGTGATGGAATTGGACTTTGATGTCTCTATGGAAGTGGTAGACATTCCTCTTAGCTTTCCATAGAGACCGAAATGGTGTAATTTGAGTGAGTATAGCTCAAATTATGAGTGGAAAACCATAGGTAGGTTAAATGACCTTGTTTTGGGTCACCCAGCCCTGTGGATGGCGCCTGGGGCGCCAAATTCACGCTTGGGGCGCCAAATTATGAGATCAGACAGTAGCATCCACGCTTGGGGTGCCAGATCCACGCTTGGGGCGCCATCTTTCTGTTTTCCCACGCTCTGAGCGTGGATCTCACGCTGCGGGCGCGGGGGTTCTGGAGGTTTCGCACCCTTTTCTTAGAAAATGCATAACTTTGGCTACGGTGCTCCGATTTGAGCGCGGTTTGAACCCACGCGTAGCTAATGAAAAATACTATAACATAGTAGAAGATGGGAATCATAAAAGGAGTTTAGAATTAATTTGATAATTAAAGTGATGAAGACATTTCACGACGTATTGTCAAGTATAATGGGAATATAACCTTTAGTTTTGTCCCACTATTCCGCGAAGTATATATAGTTATGATCACGCACTTGGTTATTTGAATCCGGCTTGTATAAAAAGGAAAAATTTATCCGGTTTTCTAATTGAACCAATGTGATTGTAACTGCGCTTAATGCCGTACGCAATGATAACAATCTGGTTCTAGAACGGGGTGTTACATGCATACTCCTACAAAGCATCATTATAGAGTTGCCAAAAGAATTCTGAGATATGTAGCAGGAACTCTAGACTTTGGAATATGGTATAAGCAGGTGACACAATGCAATCTGGTTGGATATACGGACAGTGACTGGGCAAGATGCATGGAAGATCGTAGAAGCACTACAAGGTATGCATTCTATTCTGGATCTGGTGTCATTTCATGGAGTTCAAAAAAACAAGCCTTTGTCGCATTATCCTCCTCAGAGGCTGAGTTTATTGCAGCAATTGCAACTGCAACAGCTCGTCAAGGAATTTGGGTAACCAAAATACTAGAAGATCTTGGACAGAAGCAAAGAGAAGCAATTAAAAAATTTTGTGATAATAAAGCAACAATGGCTATGACCAAGAATCTTTTGTTTCACGGCAGGACCAAACACATTGATATAAGGGCACATTTTATTAGAGACCTGGTTGCTGAAGGGAAGATTAACTTGCAATATTGAAGTAGTGAAGAACAAATTGTTGATATCCTCACACAACCACTTGCAAGAAGCAGACATGAGCAATTGAGGAATTTACTTGGTGCTTGTGATTTTGGATCAAGGGGGAGTGTTGAGAAATTATCCAAAATATGGTAATCTGCCACCAATCTATTAGTTAGGTTGTCTTTATGCATTTAAGTTGTATTCCTAATTTTTCTCTGGGAGTTGATTTTCTTTTCAATTATATAAAATGCCTATTTAAAGGCTTTATTTGTGATTCAATGAAGCGTGACAGACTATATAATGCAACACTCTGTTTTTTTGCCATCGTCTCTCTTATTTCTCTTTTAAGTTCCAACAAAAGAGAGCAATACTTAAGAACTAGTATAACCATATTCTCACCCGTTTCTTCCCCTAGTAAGCACCAACACTCGAACACGCTCTTCTCCCTATCCCGATTGCTCCTAACTCCTAACCCTTCAAGTCAGAGATACATATTCCATGATGCTGTTGGTGTTCGCTTCAGTAAAGATGAAGCTATGGACTTCCAAATATTCCAACATGTAAATATTCTGCTTTATTGTATTGTGTACATAGTTCAATAAAGACATGATTTTACTCCTACAAACCATGCAGATTGCAGATAACAAATTACAGCCAGCACACAACTATTTGCTTCATACATTATGACAATAAAATCTAGCTGACTAGTTCCAACCAAGAAATAGTCTGGCTTCAAGATGTTCTAATGATAACAATTGACTCGTTAACACCATCAGAAAACCACACTAAAGGTTGTTTTCATCATCATTCTAGAAATTACAGAAATCAGGCAGTGGCAGTTTTCTATCCAGTTGTCGACTCTCCGCTAGCAGTTGCAGAGGCACGCTTAGCTTCATAATCTTTAACAGCTGCTTTTATAGCATCCTCAGCAAGCATGCTGCAGTGAAGCTTGACTGGTGGAAGTGAAAGATGCTTTGCAATTTCACTGCAGGACATTAATTATGTGTCACTTCAAAAACTAATAACAACAGAACAAAGCTATTAATCATGGAAGCATAACCAAAGCTAGATTCATCCGGCAGAACTAAGGTCCAGAGATGGTGCATGATCTAGAAACCAAAACTCCAAAAGGTCCAAAACAAAACACCAAAAGATGTAACTACTATTAAGCTTTAAGCAACCATTACATTCATCAACTCACCATCATCTAAAACGGATATGAAAAGAAGAAGATATATACGAAACTTAAAGAACAACAGCACGTCTTCCAACAGTAACCATTAAACCAACCAAAAAATGTTAATTTTGTATTTAACCAGTTCAGGCACCTTCTACATCTAACCACGTAAACAGACAAAAACACTCATCTTCTAAAGTAATCATCTATCACTTCAACAATTTCAGGCACTAAAACTGAAGGTGAAGAATTATAGAGACAACATCTTCCAACATTAATCATTAAACCAAACAAATAATGTTAATTTTGTATTTAACCAGTCCAGGTGCCTTCTACATCGAACAACTTAAATAGAAAAAAACTCATCTTCTAAAGAAATAATCAATCACTTCCACAATTTCAGGCACTAAGACTGAAGGTGAAGAATTATAGAGACAGGGGCCTAAACTAAAATAAAACTTGCTGTGAGATATATTTCCTAAAGCAATATACTGCATGTCATTCAGATTATATGAGTGCCTTCATTTTTAATATGTCTCATTGTCGTTTGGTCTAATTATAAGTGAAACAGCGAGTTTTTTGCAATACCTTTTATTAGGTGCTTAGCGTTGTGCCATATTACAATCTCTCATTTTTTCCCTCATGTGTTTTTTTTTCTCTGTTCACCATTCTGAAAATCCCCAAAGTTTTGCTTTGATAGGGTTTCGCCTCAAGAAACCCATCTTCGTTTGATTCATGTTTTGCTACCCTGTTTTTTATGCCTGTTCACGGTGCTTGTTCCTTGGTGTGAAGGTTGTGTTTGTGAATTGTGCCCCTTTGGAGGAGGCTGTTGGTTGCTCTTGGTGCTGATTCAAAGAAGGTTCTAGGAGCGGCTCTTGGTTGGTTTATTGGACGAGCACTGAAGGCTTGGAGTTCTGGTAGTTTGTTGCTCGTTCTTGGTTCCTTAACAGGTTTTATTCTGTATAATTAAAGGAATAGGTTTCCGAATGGGTTCCAGTTTGCATGTTTGGGACTTTTGGGTTTATGGGTTTATGGTGAAATTGTCTGCTTGTGTGTACAATTGGTACTCTATTTTTCGCAAAGCTAAGGGAGTTTTCCCCTATTCCCTTCGAGAAACAAATCTTAATAGCAATATCAAGTTTACAAAAAAGTAAACTTGTGTGTCTGTTTCTCTTTATGTTTCTATTACCGTTTAGATTTGTGTATTCTGCAACAATAACTCTTAACACTTGCTATAACTCAGAACTCTCACCATGCTTGCAGCTAGAACCCTATTTTGTTTCTTTAGTGAAGACCCAATATTCTCAAACGCATAACTACTGTGCACCAAACTAAAAGTACGACGAAGAAGATAATTAAGACAAATGATCACATAAATCACACAATACACATAAACCATGGCCAGAAGGCCCAGAACATTAACAGACACTTGAACCAAATGTTATCAACAGTTCAAAGGCAGATAGGTGCTTACGTGTTTTTGATGGATAAAACTTCCTCCATTTGCTTTCCCTTTACCCATTCAGTAGCTGCAAACAGAGAAACTATAAATTAGAATCATCATCAGTGAGGGGAGGAATTCACAAAACATTGAGCATTATCTTTTTCTCCTGCAACGATAAAAATTTCATTTAACACCAATTAGGTCACTGATACCCCTATGTATTTCATCCAACCACTCCAGACCACATACCCAAATGATCAATTGAACTATGCAAAAAAAATTAAATAAATAAATAAATAAATAAATAAAATAAAATTCCAACAGATAGCATATTATGATAACCATAAGCCCAAAGCATCCATGCCATTCAAGAAGGTATTTCTCATGTGATGTATACCAATCCCAAAACAAAAACAGAGGGAAAGCAACAAAGTAAACACAATCCCATATCCCAGAAAGACAAAATCATTTCAAAAAATAAGAATTGAAAATTCAAACACCACGAAAGGCATAAACCCTAGTTGTTACCCTACCAAACCATCCAACTCCTTTGTGAACATACCAACGGATGAAGAAGCAATAGCGGAACCACAGCCGAAGGTCTTGAAACGAGCATCAACGATCTTTCCGGTGTTCTCATCAACCTTAATCTGAAGCTTCATGACGTCGCCACACGCGGGTGCCCCGACCAGACCCGTACCCACGGTCGGGTCGTTCTTCTCGAACGATCCAACATTCCGGGGGTTGTTGTAGTGATCCACCACCCTCTCGTGGTAGAACCGCTGCAGAACCCTAACGGCCGGCGGTGCCGCCTCGAACGACGCCGTTCCCACCACTCTCTTTGCGCTTGCGGCGATTCTCAGCATTTTTTTATTTTTATTTTGTGAAGTCGTCGATCAATATTTAAAAAAAAAAATATAGTTAAGGCGGTTTTGCTTGTTACGTGGCTCGCTGGTGGATTCTTCTAATTACGTGGCTCATTTTTTGTGGTGCGGTCGTCGATCGATATTTAAATAAAGGTAAAAGTGTTTCTTATTATTTTTTTTATTTTTATTTTTATAACAAAAGTGTTTCTTATTTTAAGTGACAGAAAGTTATGTGAAATATAGATATAGATAATTTGAATTTTAAATTAAAAAAAATCAACCACTTTCTCTCTCCCATGATTTCCGTTTTTTCTGTGTTTATCTCTCTCTTAAAATGACATAACTTATGTCATTTAAAATGACAAACATCAAACACTTAAATAAATTAAATAGTTAAGGCGGTTTTGCTTTGTCAAGTGGTTCATGGATTCTTCTAATCCAAATCCAGGTAGTTAGGAACAATTGAAGCCCAATATTTACCAATAAAAGCCCAAATCAACTGGTATTTTAGAGTATGATGCCTCGGGGATTGCTAGATTTCGTTATTTGAACTCGTTGTTATTCTTCTTCTTTCTTGGAATCTGCCCTCCTTTTCTTTTCGCGTAAAAAAATTTAAGTGAGATTTTAATTATTTTATACAAAAATAATAAAAAAATAGAAAATAAATGAAAAATAACAATAAAAATTCATATCCACTAATGACTAATCTTTAGCTATAATATATTTTTTGAAAACTAAATTAAAGAACAAAGTGGGAGTGCTTGTTAATAAGCTAATGATTATAGTTAAGGTTGGCAAAACGGGCTAACCAACTCTCGTTAAATCAGAAAAAAAGAGTCGGGTTAAGATTTGCTCAGAAAATAAACGAATCAGAAAACTCAACCCAATCCAACCCGAGTCGGATTAGGGTTGGCTCGAAAAAATAAAAAAATAAAATAAAATAACCACATTCACATTGTCACATATACTATAAAAAAAAGGTCTTTAATGCACGGTTTTGGACTTATTTGCAGTTGCAGGATATTTTTGTTTGGGTCTTTGAAATTAGAATTTTAGTTTTTGCTTTCTATTTTACCTTAATTAATTTTTATACTTTTATATTTTAAAAAAAATCATAACCCGCGAGCCAACCCGTTTGGCCCGTGGGTTAGCTCGATTTTTTTCGAGCTAAAACGAGTCGGACTGACTCGAGTTACTAACTCATTTTCCCTAACTCAATCCGACTCATTTTAGTCGGGTGGATTGGCTCCTTTTGGCCAAGCCTAATTATAGTACTATTAAAGATGTTAAAATATGACACTATGTATAATGTATGCAATTGAATAATAATATAAATTATTTTTATACACTAATATAAATTCAATTCAATTCTTTAAAGATTAATAATATTAAGAAGAATGAGTCAATTTTTTTATTAATTTTTTTTTTTGTAATAAGAATGAGTCAAATTAAACTCAAACAAACCAGTTACAATATCAATTACTTAAAAGCGTGGATACTTGAGTTGCAATTATAAACCAAAATTATAACACTAGGCTTGAACAATGTTGAATCATGCAAAGAATTATTTCATGTTCATGTCAATCTTATTTTTTGATAATTAGATAATATAATAATTTGAATCATATAAAGTGTGTAAACATCCAAATTGAATGAATGCATAATGTTATTCATACAAATTGAAAGAATACATATTATATAAGTGTGTAAATTGTTTTTTTTTTTTTTCATTTCCTTCTTTCATTTTATTTTAGTAATACACAGTACAAAACAAGTGTTATCATAACCATCCCAAACTACTCAAAAGTTCAAATGTAAAGGTGATATTAAATGTGATTTATACATTGATATTTAAAAAAAAAAAGGAAAACAATTTTTTTATTTTTTTACCGTTTTCACGGATTTTGTTCTGCTTCACATTAAAATCTCTGTTCAATTATATTGTAAGGGTTTTGTTAATAAACGCTAAATGGTCAGAAACGCTCAATATCCTTGGTTTTAGATATTGTTGAACTAAAGTTGATCCTAAACCAGTGAAGAAAATTTTATTTTCTTCTAATGGAAAGATTAATACTATATTTTTAAGGAAGGGTTATATTTATAAATTTTTTGTTTATAAACTCTTACAAATTATACTATATATTTTCAGAAATACATTAGGCTACATTATAATATAAAGTGTAATTTATAAATACTTGTTAAAAAAAAATTATAAACAAATTATAAACAGATTATATATAACGACAAGAACTCAATAAATGCCTAATTGAAGAATCAGCACATTTTTGTTAACATTTTGGAAGAAATAAAAATTAAAATAACCTGGGTCATGTTCATGTAACTGCTCATAAGAGCATTGATGATCTTCAAAGAATAAGGGACAATTTATAACCTTGGGTACTCGGGATGGCATCATTTTGTATGGACAAAGGTATTCCCTTCATGCTTTGTATAAGTTCATCAATGCTTTGTATTGAGGGCTGATGGGCCATAACGAGGTGGCTGTTGCTATAGGAGTCCATCATCATGTCATGAATTGTAGCACTACAATCCTATAGTCCTTACATTTGAGCGAGAGATGGTGAATCACTGACATCTGTTTTGAACAGTGCCACAAGAAATGGATTTAATAGAGTAGAAGAATTAAGAATTTTTGTATCAAAATAAAAATAAAAATTAAGAATTCAGAGTTCCTAATGGTGTAGAAAAAATAAATTATCAATATTAAATATTTTTTAAAGTAATTATTTTATTATTATTTTTTAAAATAGTTTTATAAATTAATAATATACTTCCCACTATTTTCATGAAATTTTTAAAATATTTTTCAAATGTTTAAATAACACTTTATGTATGTACTAAAAAAGTTATCACTCTAATTTCAACATTTTTTATGAATAAAATCTCATGTTTTAATGGACTCAATATGAAATTTGGATCAATAACACAAGACAATAGACCCAATTGTTACTACAAAAAAAGAAGAAGAATATATTGTCAGTAATTTTCTTGTTTCAAATTACCTGTTAATTTAGAAATCCAAGATGTCCTTAATTTTTTTTTTCAATTTTATTATTATATTTTGGTATCTCTACTAAACAGAATATGAAATAACATTAGTGAAGTAAATAAGTAATTTTGACAAATTTAATTATACTTTCCTATAATTAAAAATATGGTTCATTATTTTTAAAGTTATTTTAGACAATTTTATCTAATGTTCATTGAAACGAAGTTATTTTGGGATGAAAATCATGATGTATTTTTAATTTTAATTTATTTCAAAATTATAATAGTCTTTAATATTCAAATTTTTTAATTTTTCAACCCTAAAATAACATTATTTTGATTAACATCAGACAAAATTATCTAAAATAATATTAAATATATTTTTTCCTTAAAAAAAATTTTAATTTATTCCAAGATAATAATAATCTTTATCATTCTAATTTTTTTATTTTTCAACCCCAACACGACATTATTCCGGTAAAGATTGGACAAAATTATCTAAAATAACTTTACATTTTTTTTTTTCCTTAAAAATATTATGCAAAATTTTAAATGATAATTATGGAATAAATTATTCTACCTAACTTTTTTCCATGCCTAAGATTCTAATCTAACAGTGTTAAAGAATGATAGGTAAGATAGACATAAAAATAAATAAATAAATAACCTATCCCGACAATTATTTAGGAAAAATATATTTTTGTTTTTACTTCTGCCACCACATTAAAAGAACATACCTAATTATAATAAATTTCCTTTTGCCAGTAGCGATATGTACAAGTATAAATTTTCCCATGAGATTTTAAAATATGATGACAATAACTCCAAAATCCTAAAACTACGTCAAACAAGCTCGCAAAATGCAAACAAATTCTCTATTTCAAAGCCAGGGAAGTGAAAAAAGATGCCGTACATTTGACAAGAGCAACATCTAAACTACAAAATTGTTCCCAACATATATGAAGGCGAAGTGCTAGCCAGATTCTAGACAACACAAATAAGACGGAATAGTTAATTTACACACACAAGGAACATAAATTGGAAGACCTTGAAAATCAAGACTCTTTGTCCTTTGATATATTACGGGGCAATCTATTGAAAACACTCTCGTCTACTATTCTATAATGCTTTGAAAATTGATGGTGTATAAGTCCACAACATTTATCTACATAATCTCCATATTTGCTGTACAAGGCGGGGATAGTAATCATCATGAGGCTTCCTGTCACCATTAAAGAGGAAGAAATGTGAATAAAAAAGAAATATAAAAGGTCATGAGTTTATATATAAATTCCCAACTTGTGTAGAGACTTCAAAGATTTACATATGCTGTTCAAGAATATTAGCTGTCAAAATGATTCTTCACAGCACTAAACAAAATAGATTAGAATATCACAGTAAACCACCGAGTTCAAAAGCACAGTCATGTGAGTACAAACATCCAATCAGGTAAATGAAAATCATGTGAATGCAATGAAAGTTTGACAAGGATTACATTGCACAGAGTTGGACACAAGTGACTGTCATCACCGCCCACCCCAAAAACCAAACAATAGAAGAAGGCAGTGAAAGAAAAGCCAAAAGGTTCAAGTGAAACACCTAAATATCATTTAGTACAGAAATTACTCTACATTAATGAGAAAGGAGGTCTCAAGAGACACACAAACAGTTTTTCATAAATAGACCTATGATGCAAACATACCAATATATGCAAGTGTGAAGAAGGAGAAGATGCTTCCAATGACGGACAAGAGCCACAGACAAACCACCACCTGTCAAATAGACACAGCACACAATGAATAATCTCTGTTCATTTTCCATCGAATCATATACAAAATTCTGAGAATTACTAAAATCTCATTTTTAAATGCAAAAATTGCATTGTTATAGCAAAATTATAATTTAATGTAGACCATAAAATAGCCAACATAACAGAGCATATATTGTTGAAAAACAACCGACAAATTTGAGGGAATTACTTCAACGGAGCAGGTTCCCCCAAGGTATTAGTAGCCCATGCGTTTCGTAAGCCCATCCCAAATTATATGTCATCCTTGCTAAATTTTACCAGTAAATTCCTTTTAGACAATATCATTCTCAACCTAGTTTTTTTTCAACAAATATACATCTTTGGAAAAGAATCACTAATTATTTAGATAATTAGATCACATTTCCCCAAGCCAAAATTCCTAAAATGCTGTCACCTGAAACAAAACTAACCTTAAAAAAAATTCTAAAATCCTTGCCAATAGTGATGTCATGAGCTATAAGGAGCACATTATTGATTTTGACCCGAAATGAAGCTGCCACATTATTAACCATCTCCTCTGACACTACTAGCTCAGGTAACGTTGGTGGAAGTCTGCTTGAAAAGAAAAGGATACCCAATGACAGTGTTAATGTTAAAAATGTTGAAAAACATAACAAGAACATCAAGGATTACTAATCATACTTATTTCTAAGGGCAGCATAGTTAGCATGCAGAAACAATAGTACGATCAAAATCAGCAAGACATCTGAACAAATTGTTAAAAATGGTAAATCGGTCCACTCAAGCAGGAGCCAGGCAACTGTTGCAACAACAATGACACCCAAGGAAACATGCCACCGCTTCCACAATAGAACATCAGCAACTACAAAAGAAACAAAAGAGAGCAATAGTTAAGAACTAGTATAACCATATTCAATACAAAAAAATATGAAATGCAAGCATGCAGATTGCAGAGTGATGCTCTTCCAGCAATTTTTTCCAAGTTTGTAAAGTTAAATAAAGTTTAATTTATTAAAAAAAATAGCAACTGGCTTGTATAGGATCTTCACACTGAGCAATCTTCAACTCAAACAATTTTCAATCCCATATCCAAATCATTAAGATTAGACAAACAAAAAAGAATAACAAAATGACAAGAAACAGAAAGAAAAATCAAACTTGAATGACCATAGGTACATACCAAAGGCAGTAGGAAGCTGAGCTTCTGATTCAGACATGAAATTAAACTCTCCAAAATGGAAGTCCTACGAACCGGATTGCCCAGACCTGGATTTATAATCAACATATGAGCTGAATTACCATGACAACAAGCTTCGCAATAATACAGCACCAAAATCACAGTTCAGAATTCTGTCATCTCAGTCAAATCATAACAACCCTCCACAAATCCAATGCAAGCAACATAACAGAACCCCATATACTTGGAAAACAAAAGTACAAAAAAGCTGCCCAAGTTTGAGTGACAAAGTGGAAACACACAAAACAATTAAAAGATTCAAACTTGGCACTGATGAAACAACTTGAGACTTGAGCACAACTTTAAATATTAGTTCATGTTAAATTACCAAGATCATAGTCATTCTCATCCTAAATTACAGACACAGTGATTAACCCCTAAGGCAAGTTATGAATTATGATGGCGAGCTAGATCAAGATCAAGATTACCATTTGTCAATAGGGGGGAAAAAATCTGCAAATAAATAGAAAAAATCAAACTTCAAACAGAATACACGGTTTCTACCACGAAGATCTGATGAAATCCGAACGAATTTAGAGCCGAAATGACCGTGACGTGCCGAGAATGCAAAGCGGAGAGCTGAAAGAGAGAAACTAGAGTCGAATTTAGAGACAATTATGGGTGAGAAAGGGAGCGAAGCAAAAACCCTAAAATTGATGAGAACGAAATTAGGGTTCAAATTCAAAGGAGACAATACAAAAAGATGAAGATTTAGGTTCCGATATGATGGAAGACTAGACAGAAAGAAAATAGTTTAATTCAATTCAATTCTTTGAAACAAGGAAAATGCTTAGAAACTTCAAGTTCCATCTTCTGGAGCTCCCCCAACCTAGCTGAGTTGTATTGCGAGATACATTAATTTATTTATTTTTTTGTATTTTTGGGATACATCGTATAATTTAAAAAAAAAAAAATTAATTGATAAAATGAATGACTGCCTAATAATTATAGGTTTTATTAATCTCGTGTTAAAGGAAATAAGTTATCTCATATCATAGAGACAAACTTGTGAACTTCACCACTTGAAAAAAAAAAAAAAAAGGTGGCACAGTTATCGAAGGGTGTGTAGAAGATAAATTTATCACATATAGCATAAGAGTAGTTTTTTTCAATAATTATATATAAGGTAACATCATTTGGCACTAGTGTCAAATGTATCATTTAACAATAGTGTTAATTTTTTTTAATTTGATACCTCATGTGAACTATTGATTTTTGTCTATCTACTGGATGTAATTTATTTGGTTATATACATTAAGGGTTTCGATTTTCTCATGGGGTAGGAGAAAATTTTCTCATACTGTAGACACATCTTATAAGGGGCCCACATCTATTAAAAAATAAAAAAATAAAAGAAAATATTGCACGAAAATCGAAGGGTCACTAGTAGGAGAAAACAATTCTCCTACGACATAAGAAAATGTTTTCCCATACATTAATTAAAGTAACTGTGGTCAAAAGTTTATAATTATGTATTCTCAGGAATATATAATTATAATGTTAAATTTATTTTTTTCTCTCTTTAGAATTATAATTATGTATTCCTGAAAATACATAGTTATAATATTTGTTCTAGACGGACATTAATGGATATTCTGTATATCTCTTATGTATGTCTTACGGGGCTATTCCCTATATATATATATGTGTGTGTGTGTGTGTGTGTGTGTGTGTTATATCATACGATTAACGTGAGAGTGGATAGTTATTAGTAACCCACTATCGAGATTATGGTAGGGCCCATTGGAAATAAATATAACCGTTAGATCAACATAATCGACCGAACGGTGAAATTGATTGGTAGTAACATTAATTGGTTGTTACCATATCCTACCCCGTATATATATATATATATATATATATATATATATATATATATATATATATATATATATATATATAGGAAAAACATTTCTCAAGCTGCTTGATATAAGTTTATCTCCGGCCACCCCAAAACTACGTCGTTTTGATTATTTATTTTCTTATATTTATTGATTCATCTTTGAATAGTTATGATTCCTTTTTTCTCTCTCTTCCTTTATCACCATTGATCCATCTTTGTACGGTTATGATTTAGTAGCCGGAGATAAAGTTATCTCCGACAGCTTGAGAAATGATAAGCCCATATATATATATATATATATATATATATATATATATATATATATATATATATATATATATATGGGCCAGACCTTTTACACCGGTGTCAAACTTTAAAATTTGACATTAAATTCTAACAATTGATTCCGCAAATCAACAGTTATAATCTGCGCCAATTGTAACGCCCGGCCACTTGCAAGAATCAATGATTGTCCCCACACACTAACACGAGACTTTTCAGTGTGCTTTGGCCTCACTCGCACACTTCCCGGGAAAACTTCCCAGGAGGTCACCCATCCCAGAATTGCTCCAAGTCAAGCACGCTTCACTGTGGACTTCTTCCGCTCCGAGCTACCGAAAAGTAGATGCATCTTGTTAGTATACGTAGTACCAATTAATTTATAAGCCATTTCTAATTGTACCGTCCCCATACCAGCACAGTCTCTAGAATCCCTCTCTTTCGGGTGTTGATTCGATTCATTCATGAACCCCCAAGCTGCAAGATTTGGCATGAGCCGCTCATTGTCCGTGCCCTTTCGCACCGGCGATGACTCCCTGCCTTTGCCAGCTCTTGGGATGTTACATGCCCACCAGCTTCCGCCTGGTTTGTCCTCGAACCACACCGTACTGGAAGATAGGCCCACTCTGATACCACTTGTAACGCCTGGCCGCTTCAAGAATCAATGACTATCCCCACATACTAACACGAGACTTTTCAGTGTGCTTTGTCCTCACTCGCACACTTCCCGGAAAAACTTTTCTGGAGGTCACCCATCCCAGAATTGCTCCAAGTCAAGCACGCTTCACTGTGGACTTCTTCCGATCCGGGCTACCGAAAAGTAGATGCATCTTGTTAGTATACGTAGTACCAATTAATTCTTATAAGTCATTCCTAACTGTACCGTCCCATACCAGCACAGTCTCTGGAATCCCTCTCTTTCGGGTGTTGATTTAATTCATTCATGAACCCCCAAGCTGCAAGATTTGGCATGAGCCACTCATTGTCCGTGCCCTTTCGCACCGGCAATCACTCCCTGCCCTTGCCAGCTCTTGGGATGTTACACCAATCAAACTTATTAATTAATTATTAATTCTCAATAAATGATAACAGTTGATTGGCGGAAATCACGGTTATGATTCAGTATCAAATTTCAAAGTTTAATATTGGTGTCAAATGATCTTATATATATACGGGTCATGATCATTTTACACTAGAGTAAGTTACACTCTCAATCTTGTCCGTTCATTCCACTTATATCTAATGGCTCAAATTTTTTAATAATGTGGACCATTGGATACAAGTGAATCAATGATCAAGATTGAGTGTAAGACTTCTAACTCTTACACCGGTGTAAGAATATCTTGCCCCTATATATATATAGGAACAGTTAGGGGTGGCAATACGGGTCAACCCGACACGACACGACACGTTTTCGACCCGTACACTATTTGACACGACCCTGACACGACCCGTTTTGTCAACGGGTCACAAAACACGAACCCTGACACGACCCGTTGTGGGTCACGGGTCGACACGACACGACCCGCAAAATTTAAAATTTAAAAAAAAAAGTGGGATTTTTTGAAAAATAAATAAATTAAAAACAATAAAAAAATAAAAAATAAAAAATAAAATAAAAAAAGATTAGCTTCTGTTTCTTGAGATTTTTAGTTCCTTGTATTCTTTTCTATACTAAACAATGACTATATATATCAATATATAAATGAATAAAAATAATAATATAATAAAATATTTAATTGAAAATTAAAAAAATGACATTGTGCAAGTTGACACGCGAACCCGCGGGTTAACACGTGACCCGACACGAAAAAAAAAGGGTCTCATTTACACAACCCTGACACGACCCGCCCTGACCCGCGGGTTGACACGACATGTGATTTGGCGGGTCGGGTCACGGGTCAACCTGCGGGTCAATACCTGTATTGCCACCCCTAGGAACAGTATCATTTTACACCGGTGTAAACTAATAAGTTTTACACCACATCACAACCGTTGATTTCTATGCATCCAACGGTTATAATTTAGGAAGTCATATAAATTAATTAATATTAATTAATCATTTATTACACTACAAATACCAACTGATGATTTTCATCCATCAACGATTGAGATGTGGTGTAACATTAACAAGTCTCACACTAGTGTAAAAAGAACTTGCCTCTCTCTCTCTATATATATATATATATATATATATATATATATATATATATATATATATATATATATATAGGGAAAAATGTTTCTGCAGTTAATGCAGACAAGTTACCTGCATTTATTCTTAAAACGACGTCGTTTTGGTATTGAAATCTTAAAAAATTTAAATATAAAGACTATTATAACCCTGAAATAAATTAAAATTACAAAAACACCATGATTTCCGCCCGAAAACGACGTCGTATTGGACTTACTGCAGATAACTTATCTGCAGTAACTGCAGAAAAATGAAACCCATATATATATATATATATATATATCCTTTGATATCGGTGTCAAACAAAAAGTTTGACACCTTATCTAAGAGTCGTTGATCTTGTCTCTATCCAACGACTTTGATTTGTAAACATGTTACAACGTTAATCTGCTTGATCTAACAGTTCTCAGATGATATGTCAAATTTTTTATATCTTGCCCCATATAAGGGCAGGATCTTCATGCACTGGTGTAAGTGTAACGTTCAGCCGCTTCAAGAATCAATAATTGTTCCCACAAACTAACATGAGAGTTTTTGGCATGCTTTGTCCGCACTCACACACTTCCTAGGAAAATTTCTCAGGAGGTCACTTATCTTCGAATTGCTTCAAGTTAAGCACGCTTAACTATGAAGTTCTTTCGTTTTGGGCTACCGAAAAGTAGATGCATATTATTAGTCTAGGTAATACTAATTAATTTTTATAAGCTATCCCCAACTGTAGAGTCATATACGTGTACAGTCTTTGGAATTCCTCTCTTTGGGTGTGTACTCGATTTATTCATGTACCTCTCAGTTAGAAGCTTGTCAGGAGCCGCCCCTTGTCCATGCCTCTTTGCACTGATGATCACCTCCCTCATCAGCCACCAGGATGTTACAGTAAGAATAACAAATCTTACACACAATTTTAATTATTGATTTTCAATATCTAACAGTTATAATTTATTGAGAATTAATAATTAATTAATGAGAATATCCAATTAATTATAGTCGTTTAATGGACGAAAATCATCGGTTAAGATTGGTAAGATTTATTATTCTTACACATGTGTAAATTGATCTTGTCAATATATATAGTTCTTTAAAGGAGAAAATTATTACCTCTAGCAAACACAATTATGCAGGTGGAGTCCACTAACATGGAAAGAGAAAAAATCATCTCCTCCACTCACAAACCTAAGATGAGTCTCACTCTGATTTTTTTCTTTCTCTCCCTGTCAGTGGACCTTGCTGGAGCTAATAATTTTCTCCTGTAACAAGAAAAAACTATTACCCATATATATATAAGAATAATAAATTTTACATTCAATATTAATCATTAATAACCGTCCATCAAATAATGGTAATTAATTAGATTATTCTAATTAATTAATGGTTAATTTCCAATAAATTATAATCGTCATATATCGAAAATTAACAATTAGGATTGAGTATAAAATTTGTTATTCTTACCTCGGTATAAGAAGCTCCTACCATATATATAGACAAGATTCTTTGACACCGGTG